AGAATTAAATACAAGGGAAATGGTTGTGAATTTGTAATGAGTGATAAATTTGTTATTAAAAATATTGAAGGGTTTAGCTTTTAGCTCTTGACCTTTCGCTTTACAGCCTAGACCCCACTCATTAATTATGATAATACATGGAAGGGCTGTGATGAAATATTGAAATGTACTGTCTTTCTGGGCATAATGTGCAGCAACATAAGTGCTCAATACATTTTCTACCATATCATTTAACCCAATGATGAGAGGAAGTGCGATAAGCAGGAATAGCTTTTGCTGTTTTTGTGCCCTGAACTATGCTCTGTTCTTTATTTTCTGTTTGCTCTTCTTCCCTTTCAGCACTGCGATCGACACAATTACTCCAAACCAGAGTGTCACTGATGGAGAAACCCTTGTTTCTGGTCAAAAAGCCTTTGTGTTGGGATTCTTCAGTCCTGATGAAGGGTCTCCAAATAAGCGTTACTTGGGCATATGGTTCTATGGAATTCAGCCATGGACAGTTGTTTGGGTTGCCAACAGAGACAAACCAGTTCTGGATAATCATGGAGTTTTTGTTATGAGAAATAATGGAGAGCTCCAAGTTATGGATGGGAAAGGAATAATTCTCTGGTCTTCAAATATAACTGCAAAATCAACAAGGGTTTTACCAGCTAATGCAACACTCATGGATAATGGGAACTTAGTTCTGCAACGAGGTAAGGATATCCTATGGGAAAGTTTCTTGGAAGAAAGTAATACATTTCTTCTGGGAATGACTATGGAAGACAAAATTCTCAGATCTTGGAAGAGCGACAGCGATCCAGCCCCTGGAGATTTTGCTTTTGGGGTAAATAAAGGATGGAACCAGTTTAGGATATATAAAGGTTCTTCAGATCTCTACTGGGAGAGTGGTTGGTCACAGAATTCAATGAATTTCAACGAGATGCCTAATTATTTGCTCAGCATCATGTTCAAAGTTCAAAATTTGACTCTAAAGACTGCCAGACTTGTGATGAATTCATCTGGCCAAATAGAGTTCCAGATATGGGATAAGGATTTGAGTTGGTGGTACTCACGTTGGAAAGGACCAGTAGATGATTGCAGCGGGTATCAGGTCTGCGGGGACTATGGCGTCTGTAATAACATTCGAAACGAGCAGAAATGCAAATGCTTAGAAGGGTTTGTGCCAAACTTGAAGGAACAGTGGGAATCCGGAAACTTCTCTGGAGGGTGCAGGAGGAAAGCACCTGAACTCTGCAGTAAGAATTACTACTTTGTGAACATAAGTTTGGCCAAAGTTTGGTACCCAGATGATCCTTTTCCGGCCAATAGTGAGGTAGAATGCC